TTCTCAAGTCAACAACAATTATAAAAGTCATTGAGATTTTCACAATGAAACTCTTTAGACTGAATTGTTCTAGATGCAGGAACTATCGAGAATGTAGAGGAGTAAAATGACCAATCTTTTCCTTCAGATGTGGATGAGTGTCAAGAATCAGCAGTCTCTCCATGCCAGCAGCAGTGTTTCAATACTCTAGGCTCCTACCGTTGCACCTGCCATCCAGGATACCAGCAAGTGGGACATCGCTGCCTGGGTCAGTGTCATTTTGTAAAACCATATTGAATTTCACAGGTTCATTGGTGTTGGTTAGTGGAGTTTTTGAATAGCATGTCTCATGGGATTTACTCTTTTCAGACTCTAAGACTTCCATCGGACAAGTTAGGAATGCATAGGAATGCGTTTTTACTTTTGTTTTACACTCTGGGAGATGAAATTATGTCATCATTGATTCACCTTTTTGTCATCCCAAAGCTGAAACATAAAATAAGATATTTTGAACAGTGGGAGCCAAACAACATTGAAGCCCATTGACTTCCATTGAGACATTCAAATATCTATTGTGTTCAGCAAAAGAAAGAAAGTCATACAGGATTGGAACGACATCAATGATGACAGAATTAAATTTTTTTCAGACTTTACCTTTAAATATATATTCTATATTTTTAATTTCCTTAAAATTCGTTCAGTGTGCAGTTATGAGGAAATTTAAACAAACACACCAAGGGTGGAAGATGAATAGAAGTTTTTGAATGACTCGGGCAATATTGTGCTCAGAAGATATTAACAGAATCAAAACTGTAGCTTAGTAAGCTTGCATTTTACTTAACATCATTTATGCTTGTTTATAATCAGATATAAATGAGTGTTTGAGGAATGTGTGTGCAGCACACCAACAGTGCCGAAACACAGATGGAGGATATCAGTGTTTTGACAGCTGCCCATCTGGCATGACCACAGCGGAAAATGGAGTGTGTGTGGGTAAGGAGTCACACAATTAAGACCCTGTTACTTCAACAAATCAGTTTATTTTAAATGTGACATGCCCTCTGTTCCTCGCAGACATAGACGAATGCCAGGATGGCAGTCACATGTGCCGCTACAGTCAAATCTGCCAGAACACGATTGGTGGGTATGGATGTGTTTGTCCTCGAGGCTACCGCTCTCAAGGTGTAGGTCGACCTTGCTTAGGTAAGGGTCATAAACAGTCAAGCAATTTCAAATATGTGACCCCGTCTGTGAAATCCAGGCTAAAGTCTAATTATGAAAAAAAAAAAATAACTGAAATCACTCACATTTATAAACTATGTAAAACTAATGCATGTTATTTTTTGGCATTGCAGATATTGACGAATGCGCGCAGGTGCCCAGCCCTTGTGCTTTTCAATGCCGGAATGTTCCAGGTAGCTTCCGCTGCCTTTGTCCACCACGGACGGTTCTTCTGGGTGATGGTCGCTCATGTGCTGGGCTTGAGAGAGGACATATCTTTACCAACAGTACCCGGGTACAAGCCAGGCTGCGGCCCCAGCTGGTATCTACTTTAGAGCGACCTTACCTCACTCGCCTCTCAGTCCTACCAGAGCACCTTGGATCTTCACGTCGTCCCAGGCATGAATGCCCAGTTGGATACACTAGCAAGGATGGTACTTGCATAGGTGTGTAACATTACACTATATTGTATCTTATCTTATCCAAACTGAGACTGGAACCTATCCCAGCAATAGCAGGGCAACATGCTGTATGGATGGCCAGTCAAAAGGGTTGAATTAGCATCAAAAGGGTTGAATTTTATTATATTTTTATATATATATTTTTTTTATTTATTTAAACCATCACTTGACAGTCAGTAGTCATACCATCAACCCTGGACTTTATTTTACTTTGTTTTTAATTGATATATTCAATATAATTTACCAGAAATATATAGTTCAGTCATGAAACTCTAGATGGTGCAGGCGACTGGTTGTTAACGTAACCAATGATATTCAGAGAGTTAAACGACT